AGATAATAAAATATAATATATTATATATATTAAAAATTATGTCGGAGAAAAAAAGTTAGAAGAACAAACCCATATATTTCATCCAAAGAACAATTTTAATTGCAAAATTACTTATTTATTGATGCCTAACTCAAAATTTTTATTTATTTTGAAATGCATTTAACTCTGTGTAGTATAATTAATTTGAAATTAAATTATTATTTTGATTTATTATATTTATTATATAAGTATATAATTAAAATTTATAATCTAGAAATCATTCAAAAAAAAAAATAACTTTTAAATCAAATTATATAATCTATAATTTTAAAAGCCTATTATTTATAATTTTTAAAATAAATAAAAAAGTATTAATAGGAAAATATATTTACTTTAATAATGTGTCATTTTTTATTATTTTTACTAATTCTATATTTTAAAAAGTACAAATTATCTTATGGTTAATATGTATTGTCTCTAGTTTGAATATTTGAATCTATAAATGTGTACTAATTTAATTTAAGGGACATAATAAAATTAGTACAGATTTTTAAAATATGGTAAATTATACAATATCCCTTTGTATTTTAATAAAAATGTACAAAATATCTTGTATTTTATTTATTGTGTGAAATTCATTTGTGTTATATTAAAATTTGTACAAAATATTTTTTTCGTCCAAAACTGATATTTTGGTGTAAAAACGAATATAATTATGTGAGTTTTATACAAATAAAAAAGAAAAATCTTAATTAATATTTTTTGAATAAAATAAATAAATAGATAATTGATTAATCTTTTATTTTATAACTTTTTTTAAAATAAAATGTTATATGATTTTTACAAAAATAATAAAATAAAGGATTGATAAATTATTTATTTATTTATTTATTTTAAAAATATTATTTAAGATTTTTTACTTTTTTTATTTGTATAAAATTTATATAATTATATTCGTTTTTACACTAAAGTATCAGTTTTGGACGAAGAGAGTATTTTGTGCAAATTTTAATATAACACAAGGAGATCTTACGCAATAAATAAAATACGAGATGTTTTATGCATTTTTAGTGAAATACGGGCGGTAAAGTATAATATACCTTAAAAATATTCCAATAAAAATATTTTTTATAAAAATATTTTAAAATAACAAATGAAAATGAAATATATATTAGTTATATCAATTCGTTGTCATTTTTTTTCTCCTTGGTGCAACACTATATAGGAGAAAAAAAAAATGGGCCGAACAAAGCAAAAAAAAAAAAAAAAAAAAAAAAAAGTAAAAATATAACTATATAATAAATATAAAAACAAAATTTGGGTCAAATTATTAAAAATATTAATTTTTTCATTTTTTGAACTAAAAAAAAAATCATATTTTGAGGGTAGCTAGGGTGTGAGGTGACCCATAGTCCCTATGTGCTTTTGTCCGTGGGTGCGAGGGGTGAAGTAAAAATTATTTTAAAAATATAAAAAAATAATATTTCCTCCGTCCCATATTTATATATCCATTTGTTTTTTGCACGAAGTTTTAGAAATATTAGTATTATATTGAGATAAAGGATAAAGTAGAAATAAAGATAAAAAAACTAAATTAACCCTATTAGTATTATATGATATAAAGGTAATGACATTTGTGTAATATATTATAAATTAGAAGGGTACTTGTAATGTTAGGTAGATATTACAATTACTAAAAAAGTAAACGGATACTTTGTTGTGGGACGGACCAAAATGAAAAAATAGATAAATTGTTAAGGGACGGAGAGAGTATATGTGTTGAATATTAATTTATTATTATTATTATTATTATTTTTTCAAAATTGTCAGAAGTTTGAATTTATGATATTATGAATTTATCCCCGCATCATTAAGTTATTTTTTTTTATGGGACTTGAATATTAATTTTTTGTAAATATATATATTATACTCCCTCCGTCCTAAATTAGATGAACCTTTTGGGATTTTGTAGTAGATTAAGAAATACTACTCTCTCCGTCCCATAACTATGGTATTGTTTGCTTTTTGCACGAAGTTTTAGAAATATTAGTATTATATTGGAATATAGTAGGAATAAAGGAGTAATGACATTTGTGTAATATATTGTAAATTGAAAGGGTATTGTAACGTTAGGTAGACAGTACAATTACTAAAAAATGAAATTGATAGAGACAGACTAAAATGGAAAAATAGATAATTTGTTACGAGACGGAGGGAGTAGTATGTTTGTAATTCAAGTAAAAATTAAGAATATTTTAATATTAATGTATAATTATTTTTTCTAAAATAAAAATAATAATATTTGAAGTGAAATACCTAAAAATGCTATAAAAAAATACCTAAAAACGATTGATATTATGTTGACCTATCAAAAACCCCGTTTTAATTGTGAAAGCCATGGTACTCTTTGTACCTATTATTGTAATTAAAAGAAAGAATTAATTTCGAAAATATTAATTTTAAAATCTTTTTAATTTCCAAGGTTTTGTTTGTTTGTGGCACTTTTGGTTAACGTTATTAATTTGTGTTTTGAATAGAAATTTTTTTTTATCTAAAATCATCATTCAATATAATATAAATATTTATTTATTTGATATTTTAAATATAAAATTAAATTTTATTTTAATATAATAACAAAAATAAATATTTAATCTCATATATTTAAAAAAAGAAAAAAAAATTGAAATATTAAAATCCAACAGGAAACCCCCAACAAACCCCGTAATTTGCATGTAGGTATTTGCATATTCTTTACTGCCACATTATGGGTAGACCGTAGACTAGCGTGGGTAGTAGGGTGGGCATGTGTGTATAGGTTTTAGATCTAATTATAACACCAAAATAATAATAATAATAATAATAATAATATCAAATATCAAATTAAATACTATTTTCCTTCCATTTAGAAATATATATTTTACTTATTCGACGTAGAATTTAAAAAAAAATAAATAAAAAAATTATCCCTGCGTTCTATAAATAAATATTTATTTATTTTTTTACACGTAATTTTAAAAATATTAGTATTATATTGAGATATAGTAGAAATAAAGTAGAAATGACTAAAATAATCTTATTAGTATGTGTGATATAAAGGTAATGTCATTTGTGTAATATATTGTAAGTTATAAGGGTATTTGTAATGTTAGGTAGATAATACAATTACTAAAAAAGAAAATAGATACTTTGTTACGAGACAGACTAAAATGGAAAAATAAGATACTTTGTAATAGGACGGAGGGAGTATTCCTTTCGTCTCGGATATTGATACGAGAATTTATGGGTGTGTTTGTTTGGGGGATTGGATTAGATTTCCACTATTCATCCCATTTTTTTCTCCCCAAAAAAATCAAATCAAACATCTATTTCTCGTTTTTTATATTATACTAAAAATAAATTTTACATTCAAAACATCACATCAACACCTATTTATATCACATGATACAACTATTCAAATTAAAAAATTTTACTATTCAAATCCCAATTTAAAATCCAAACCCCCAAACAAACACACCTTATGAGGGGTATAATTAGTAAATAATTAAACATATATTAGTAAAAATAATTATCGTATAATAAAAATAATTATATAAATTAAAATTAAAATAACTAATAAGTATAATTAAAATTTTAAAAATTATAAATTAAATTTTTTAAAATAAGATTAAAGCGTATAATTATTTTCCAAAAAAGAAAAGCGGCAAAATAAGTGGGACGGACGAAAATGAAAATGTGAACATAAGATGTGGGACGGAGGGAGTAATATTTTAATTATAATTGATAGTTAAAATAATGTAAATATAATTTTGTCTTTTTTTTATGTAAAAATAATGATACGATAGTAAAATAGATAATATTTGTAAGAAAATAAGAATTTTTAAATTGTTATTTTATAATTTGACAACTCAAAATAAATTAATTACTTATTAATTATATTTTATTTAAATTTATGTATCTACAATAATAGTTCCATATTACATGAGATTGAAGGAGTATTATTTTTTAATCTATTAAAAAAATTTAAAAAATACATAAGAGTAGGACAAATAGAATATTATATATTATATTTTTTAATAATATTATTAAAAATTGTATCACTAAAAGAATTAGCTGTTGGTATATACACCTTATGTTGTTTCTTCAGCACTCTTATTTTTCTGTAATAATTTTTTTTCTTTTCCATTTCAATATGCTATCTAATGTATGCATACAGTTTCCATGTACACGCAACTAACATTTAAGAAGATTATACGAGACAAACGAAAATGAAGTGTATAATTATTAAAATATTTTAAGAATATAAAGTGTATAATTACTTTTTAAAAATAAAAAATAAATTATATGAGACAAATAAAAAAAATAAATATTTTATATAAAACAAATGAGTACTACTACTTTTTACTATTTTTAAAATTATTTTTACTTTTCATATTATAAAAAGAGAAAAGGTATGTACTATATTAAAAATCGGACTCTAACAAAATGGGTTATTTAAAGGAAGAAAAAAAAAAGAAAAGTTAAATTTTAGGGTTTGAATTTTGAGTTGGAATTTGAATAGTAAAATTTTTGAATTTGAATAGTTGTATGATGTGATATAAATAGGTGTTGATGCGATGTTTTGAATGTAAAATTGATTTTTAGTATAATATAAAAAATAAAAAATAAGTGTTTGATTTGATATTTTTTAGAAAAAAAAATGATAAAATAATGTATTTAAAATCCAATCCCCAGAACAAAACAGATCTGAAAAAAATATTAAAAGACATGAATGTCAAATTCATAATTAACTTTGCAGATTTAAAATAAATTTGAATGAACGCCCAACCAAATACTTTAAATTTCATTACGTCCAAATCCATCCAACCAAACTTTCTACAAAAAAAAAAAAAAAAACAATAAATAAATAAAATAAAAATTGCCAAATAAAATCCCATCATATCCTAAAGAATTATAGAGTGAAGTATAAAAATATGAAAGCTACACATCTATATCTATATCTATATATATAAAAATGTATGTTTTCATGGCCATAAATGAAGTTTGATAGCCTAACAATCAACCATGGCTCCACCACCACAATCCGCCGGAGATTCGCCGCCGGTTAGCCGGAGATTCCGACCGGCGGCAGATGCGGCGGGACGTGCAACGACGCGAGGCAACGACGATCGAGAGGAGCTACTTTGGGCCGCCATCGAGAGGCTGCCGACGTTTGATCGCGCGACGAAAGGGATAATGAAGACAGTGTCCGAAGAAGGCAAAGAGTTGTCCGAACAGGTCGATTTTGCGAATCTCAGAGATCATGAAAGAGCGATTCTTGTCGGAAATGTACTCCGGGCCGTAGGAAATGATCCCGAAAAGTTCTTGCGACGGCTGCGCGAAAGAATCGACCGGTAAATGAGCGATGAAAAAAATAAAGTTGAAGGTTAGTTGTGTTTTTGCATTGCTCGTCGTAAAATGCATTCGTTTTTTTTTTTTTTTTTTAAAAAAAAAAAAATAGGGTCGGCATCGATGTCCCAAAGGTTGAAGTTCGGTACGAGCATTTGTCGATCGAAGGCGAGACTTACGTCGCGTCGAGGGCGCTCCCGACTTTGCTGAACGTGACGTTGAATGCGATAGAGGTATCGTTTCATCTTCATTACTCGATATTCCGTCGATTGAGCTAGCGCGAACAAATCTATTGTCGTTGCATAACTTATAACAACGAAAAACATCAGATCTCTCTAGAACTTCGAAATTAAACGTATTTAGGCAAGAATAGTATTAACTGGGGCAGACCTAGGTAGGGGCAAAGGAGCTTTTTTTTATTTTTAAATTTAATATATATATATATAATTGAATAAATTAAAAATATACTTTATCTTTGTTCCAACTCAAAGTAGTCTTTTTAAGTATTTTCATCTATTCCCCTTCAAAGTTTTTTTTTTTATTATTATTTTAGTAAAATTAATCATACATCAATACCAAAATTCATTTAACTTTCACCTAAATTACAAATATACTATTACGATTTAACATAAAGTTAAAGGCAAAAATGTCAAAACATCTTATATATTTCTAATTACTAGTAAAATACTGTTGTTTCTTAATGTTTGTTTGGGGGATTGGATTGGATTTACACTATTCATCCAATTTTTTTCTCCCAAAAACAACCAATCAAATATCTATTTTTTTTTTATATTATACTAAAAATCAATTTTACATTCAAAACATCACATCAACACCTATTTATATCACATCGTACTATTCAAATTCCAACTCAAAATCCAAACTCCCAAACAAACACACCCTAAGAGTAACTCCAACCCATTGTACCAAAATTGGGGGCGGGGGAGGAGGAGCTCCAACCCACCCCAAATATACTTTTTAGAGTAAAAATTGAAGTTTATAATTAGAGTAAAATTACTGTAGATCAACTATTGCATTTTTACTGTAGCAACTGCAAAAATGGAGTGGAGAGTTGAAGATGTCTAATACTCCTTCGGGAGTACTAAATTTTTATATAAGATGTGTTTGTATGAGTATTAAATTTTGAATAATAAAAATAATCATATTTAAAGTATTTTTTTTTTCTACTAAAATAAATTTATCTTAGTTGATGTTATAGTAATTTGTTATTTTGCACGGTTTTTAAAATATGGCAGGTCGAAAATTAACAAATAAATTGTGTTATTTTGAAAATTTTAAAAGTTATATTTTTTTCGTCGAATCCTAGTTTCACCCCCGAGTACTAAGATGGGTGAACTTCTAACAAGTCCTTATGTTTCAGAATTAATTATTTTTTTTAAAAAAAATTATGGTCGTTGTTGTCGTTTCGCATAGGGACTCATCGAAAAGGTGAAGATTCTCCCGTCGAAGAAACAACACATCAAGTTGCTCGACGATGTTAGCGGGATTTTAAGGCCTTCGAGGTTCGTATTACTATTCCAAATATCGAAAATCTATCGAAAAAAAAAAACACACAGTTAACCTAAAATTCGAATGTAAGAACTAACGACGAACTTCTTGGCATCCAGGATGACGCTGCTTCTCGGGCCTCCCGGTGCGGACAAGACGGAGTTTCTTAAATCGTTAGCTGGAAACATCGGGAAGGATCTTCGGGTGCTCGCTAGATCGATTCGATTAAAAAAATTTCGCTTCTTGTTTTAACATTTAAATACTTCTATTGAAATGTTCGGTGTAATAACTTCTTCGATGACGATGTCAGGTCAGCGGAAGGATCACATACAACGGTTACGAGCTCTCCGAATTCGTTCCGCAGAAAATCAGTTCTTACGTCGGGCAGCAGGATCTTCACCACGGCGAGATGACGGTCCGAGAGACGTTGGATTTCGCGGCACGGTGTTTAGGAGTCGGGACGAGATATGATCTTCTTGTCGAGCTGTCGAGGCGCGAAAAAGAAGCCGGGATTAAGCCGGATCCCGAAATCGACGCGTTTATGAAATCGACGGCGATTGCCGGTCAAGAATGTAGTCTCGCAACGGACTACATTCTTAAGGTGTGTTTCTTTTTCACCCGTGGTTACGTAAATTTTGAAAATTTTGACACTATTTATCAATAATAATTTATTAATATATATTTTTTAAAATATTTATTTTACACAATCATCACTTCAAATATTTTTTGTTTAAATTTTAATTTTTTTTTTTTTAAATTTCAAAAATCTATATTTTAAAAGGACTCTTTAAGGACATGAGGTAATGACTGCAGATACTTGAACTAGAAATATGCGCTGATACATTGGTCGGAGATGTAATGAGACGAGGAATATCTGGTGGTCAGAAAAAGAGACTCACAATTGGTATGTTAATTTAGAGCCTGCTTTGAGCAAGACCTCATTTGTTAAGAAACTAATATTTTTTAAAATTATTATTTTTAAATATGTAATATTATTTTTTAATTATTATAAAAATAAAATAACATAGAAATTTATTCTTTTAAGTAAAATAATTTTTCTATTAAAATTTTATATAAATAATTTTTAATAGTAATTTAATAATGTTTGTTTTCAAAATAAAAATTTTCGAACAATTTTATAAGTAATGTGTTCGTATATGTTTATTATATTATTATGAAATATATTTAATTACTCTTAAAAAAAAGTATAAATAAAAAAAAGTATTTTTTGTATTTAAAAATATCGCATTTAATAATTATATTAAAAATATTAATAAAGTGAATACATTTACGCTTTTTTCTTATTTGATTTTTACAAAAATGATAACAATAAAGAATTGAACAATTATTGATTTATTTATTTATTTTATTGAAAAATATATTTAATATATTTTATTTTTATTTTTATAAAATTTTCATAATTTCAATCATATTTACAACTAAACATTAAACGAAAATGGTATTGCTTGGTTCGATTTAACACAAGAAGTTTCGCATAATAAATAAAATATAAGCCTATTTTGTACATTTTTTACTAAAAATAAAAAGAAATTTTATACATTTACCTCAAAATAAAACTAGTAAAAATATCTAGAGGAGATTATTCTAATCGAATTAGATTACAAAATTCTCGTATTCTTGTGTGCGTTCAGGTGTGCGTTCAGTTTACTTATATTTCCTCGATTTCTCTATGCTTATACCGAACATATCATACGTAGGAGAAATGTTGGTCGGACCGGCGGGAGTCTTTTACATGGACGAGATATCGAACGGGCTAGATAGCTCGACGACGTTCCAAATTATCAAGTACTTAAAGCAGATGGTTCGTACGATGGACACGACGATGTTAATGTCGCTTCTCCAGCCAGCGCCAGAGACTTTCGAGCTCTTCGACGACATTATTTTGCTCGTCCAAGGTCATATAGTCTACCACGGTCCACGTGACTCCATACTCGAATTCTTCGAAGGTGTTGGATTTAAGTGCCCCGAGAGGAAAAGCGTCGCCGACTTCTTACAAGAAGTTACATCGATGAAGGATCAAGAGCAATATTGGTTCCAAAAGAATGAGCCTTATCGATACGTTCCATCATCTGAATTAGCGAGCAAGTTTAGCTCGTTTTCCGTAGGGAAGAAGCTAATCGACGATTTATCCGTTCCGTACGAAAAAAGTGAAGCTCGTCGTGATGTTCTCATCACTAGTAAATACGGGCTTTCGAATGTCGAATTGTTGAAGACGTGTTTGGCGCGGGAATGGCTTATGATGAAACGGAACGCGTTGTTTTATGTTTTCAAGATGTTCCAGATCACGATCATGGCGATCATCGCCTTCACCGTCTTCTTTAGGACGGAGATGAAGTTTGGGCACTTAGAAGACGGTCGAAAAGTTATGGCGGCACTGTTTTTCAGTCTTAACAATGTTATGTTCAATAGCTTATCGGAGCTCGGTTTGACGGTTTATCGACTTCCCCTGTTTTTCAAGCAGCGCGACGCTCATTTCTACCCGGCTTGGGCGTTTTCGTTACCGATATGGATTTTTGGGGTACCTCTTTCGGTTATGGAATCGTCGATCTGGACAGGTGTTACTTATTACACCATCGGATTCGCTCCTTCGGCTAGTCGGTATCACCTTTGCATCGATATTTGTTTTTTCATAAACTATTGATGTAATACTCCAGCTCGCAAGCTAAGCGTATCAGGATCATAGGCTGATCACTCCCTGTGAGGCTCGTGGGCCGGAGTGTTACAATAAAGTTTGGATCGGTGTTTATGTTATTTTATATTCGTACTATTTTCAGGTTCTTTCGACAATTGCTGGTGTTTGTGATCGTGCATCAGATGGGATTATCGCTCTTTCGATTCATAGCCGTGATCGGGCGAAGCATCGTCACCGTAAGCATTTTGAGCGCCTTTACATTGGTGTTGATCTTCGATCTCGCCGGCTTCATTATCGATAGAGGTGAGTTTATATTTTCACTCGCTTTGATCGTGATTGATGGTCGCGTCGAATGAATTTTTCTTTTCCGTGCTTAGATGAGCTTGCGCCGTGGATGCTTTGGGGCTACTATGCGTCGCCTATGATGTACGGTCAGAGCGCGATAGCCATAAATGAGTTCCTCGACGAAAGATGGAGCCGGGTAAGTGTTTTTTACGCATATTTTAAACTTTTAGGTAAGATGGTCATTTAACAGTTAGTTTAATGCATTTTGTCCGTTTCATAGCCCAACACCGATCCGAGATTTGCTCAAGCTACTGTCGGGAAGGTTCTCCTCAAGTCAAGGGCGATGTTTTCGGAGGATTACATGTATTGGATATGTGTCTCCGCTCTTCTTTCGTTCTCAATCTTCTTCACCATTTGCTTCACAGTTGCGCTAGCCTACCTCGACCGTACGATTCTTATTTTCCCGTTCTTTTTTTTTTTTTTTTACCGTTCTCTCGGATCATGTTCTAATGTTCGTTGGATGTTTATGCAGCTTTAGGTGGTTCGGAGTCTCTAGCGATTGAAGCGAAGAAGGTGAAAGAGAAGAAGGACGACGGAAATGAAGAGGAGAGCTCAAGAAAACGAGGAATGGTGCTTCCGTTCACTCCGTTGTGGCTAGCGTTCGATCACGTCAACTATTACGTCGACATGCCTATGGTTCGTCAATTCTTTAACGACTATCTACCGTATAGCTTGTTCCAAAACTCCAAAAAGTTATATTGATATCGTAATGTCTTCCCTAGGAAATGAGGAAGCGAGGGGTGAGCGAGTCCCGTCTTCGACTATTGAGAGACGTGAGCGGAGCCTTTAGGCCCGGGATTCTTACCGCATTGGTGGGCGAGAGCGGCGCCGGTAAGACAACCTTGATGGATGTCTTAGCGGGAAGGAAAACATCGGGACACATCGAAGGAAACATCATCATTTCCGGATACCCAAAGAATCAATCTACATTCGCTCGGATCAGCGGCTACTGCGAGCAGATCGATATCCATTCTCCACAAGTTACCGTCTACGAGTCTCTCGTGTACTCCGCGTGGTTACGTCTCTCGCCGGAAGTGACCGAGGAGACGCGAAAAGTAAGTAAGCTATCTCGAACTCGATATATTTTTAACGGTAGTCGGAAATTAGCCTAACTATCGAAGCTTCGACAGATGTTCGTCGAGGAAGTGATGGAGCTGATCGAACTGAATCCGGTGAGGGATGCTTTAGTCGGCCTCCCGGGAGTAAACGGGTTGTCGCTCGAACAACGGAAGAGGCTCACCATCGCCGTCGAGCTCGTCGCCAATCCTTCAATAATCTTCATGGACGAACCGACGTCCGGTCTCGATGCTAGAGCAGCAGCGATCGTGATGCGCACGGTGCGTTCGACGGTAGACACGGGACGGACAGTAGTCTGCACAATCCACCAACCGAGCATCGACATTTTCGAATCTTTCGACGAGGTAATTCACAAACCCAGCTATCGGTATCCATTTTCAGCCATCATCGTCGTCTTTTCACTTACACCAACTTCGTCGTAGCTGTTGCTGATGAAACGAGGAGGACAAGTAATCTACGCCGGCCCTCTCGGTCATCACTCGTGCCATCTGATTGAATATTTCGCCGTAAGTAATCCTAACAAAACAAATACACTAACCTCTCGACACATCGATAACGAAATTCTCTCTTCCGCCAGTCCGTGCCGGGAATTCCTCTGATCAAAGATGGCTACAACCCAGCCACTTGGATGCTCGACCTCACCACGCCCGCAGTCGAAGCTCAACTCAACGTCGACTTTGCGGAAGTTTACGCCAACTCCGACCTCCACCGTAGAAATCAAGAACTCGTTCGCGAACTAAGCAGCCCAGGTCCGGACTCGCAAGATCTACATTTTCCAACCAAATACGCACAACCATTCACGACGCAATGTAAAGCTTGCTTCTGGAAACAAAACTTGTCGTATTGGCGACATCCGGAGTATAACGCCGCAAGGGTCCTCGTTACGTTGATCCTCGGAGTCCTATTCGGAGCCATATTCTGGAACGGAGGACAAAAACTGTGAGTCGGAACAACTCGATATCGAAATAATCGACAATTACCTTGTCCGGCGTCTGTCTAACAATTGCTTTCCTCGCAGATCGACGGAGCAAGATTTAATGACTCTTCTCGGAGCTATGTACGCTTCTGTCATTTTTCTCGGCGGGACGAGTGCTTTCTCCGTGCAGTCGGTTATTTCGGTGGAACGAACGGTGTTTTACCGGGAAAAGGCGGCGGGAATGTACTCGGCTCTGCCGTACGCATTCTCTCAGGTAGCGATTGAGACGGTATACGTTGCGATCCAAACTTTGGTGTACACTCTCCTACTTTTCTCCATGGTTGGATTCGAGTGGCGTGCGGACAAATTCTGCTGGTTCTATTACTACATGTTCATGTGTTTCGTCTACTTCATCGCCTACGGAATGATGCTCGTCGCCCTCACGCCGAACTTCCAGATTGCCGCGATCACGATGTCGTTCTTCCTCAGCTTCTGGAACCTGTTTTCCGGCTTCATCATCCTTAAACGGGTAATACTCAACCCGCCGCAATAACCATCGCTCAACATAAGCTCTTACCTAAACAAAATGACAAGACAAACACAAACCTTAAACTTATTACATGGAAATGCTCGGTTTTTCGACAGGAAATACCTGTGTGGTGGAGATGGTACTTGTGGTGCTCCCCTGTTTCTTGGACCATCAATGGCCTCATTACGTCGCAGTTAGGGGACAGGACGGAGGTCGTTCGAGTGCCTGGCGTCGCCGGAGATGTCCTAATTAAGGATTATTTCGACAGATTTTTGGGGTTCAGACATGACTTGCTTGGAGCTGTTGCGGCTGCGCATCTTGGCTGGGTATTACTTTTCTCTACTCTATTCGCCTTTGGCATTAAACACCTCAACTTCCAAAGGAAGTAGCGAGGATAAGCTATTACAACATTCTTTTATTGCAACTCGATTTTACGACGAGATTGCGACAAGGGGCTTAACAAGCCATGGGACTAAACCTATATCAGCAATATTTAGACTATTGTACCTCAAAATTATTTAGTTGGAAATCACAATTACAACAAACAGTAGCTTTCTTCACTACCGAATCTGAGTATGTAGCAATAACCGAGGCATTAAAACAAGCATTGTGGCTAAAAGGTTTAATAACTTAAATTGGCTATTTGCAAAATAATGTTATAGTGTTCCCGGATAGTCGGTCCGAAATACAATTATTTAAGAATCCTGTATTCCACGACAGAACTAAACACATTGATGTACGATTTCATTTTATACACAATATTATATCTAAAGAACTGTTAAAATTCCAAAAAGATTCCTTCTAAATATAATCGGGCTGTTAACAAGACTTCCTAAAGAATTCTATCCCCCAAAGCCACGGGACTAAACATATTTCAGTAATATATCGGCAATATTAATCGACTATTGCACCTCGAAATTATTTACCGAAACAAAACAAAGATACATGTAAGAACTCTTGCATAACATCTACAAGCATTTGTTCTCAATAAATGAAGAAAAGAACATATTTTTCGAGTACTAAGAATCAATCCAAACCAATTAATCCACAAATCGATATTCGAACTTCATTACATTGTAAATTGTCAGTAATCCTAACCAGTAATGGCTGCACTCGCTCTACCATTGTCAATCAACTCCAAAAAATTAACATGGCAACAAACAGATGGTTAAAATCGAAATCGAACAGCGAAAAAAATAAAAAATCAAAGAGATCACACAGAACATACATAAGATCATTGAATTTGAATAACTCAGATGTCTGAGTTCACAAACTTGCTGAGTTCTTCCAACTTTTTCATCCTCAGCTTCTCACTCTGACCCACCAACTGCAAATCCATTACACGTTTGATTGATTTATTCAATTCGGAAGTATAGAAAAATTGTCGGGAATGGTTTCTACAATTGAATTAATTACCTCGACAAGTGTATTGGTGAGCTGAGATTTCTCGTTGTTCTTTTCTTGCAAAGCCTCCATAGCTTCTTTGTACTCTTTCTCCTGTGCAATTCCAACGAGAATTTTTTTTTTTTAAGAAAATAAACGTATTATTGGGAATTTTGAATCGAAGTTAATTGCGGAAGAACAAAAAGGGGGAAAGGGAAACTTGTCTGTCTTACTTTCTTTTGGCAGATCTGTCCAAGAGATTTGAGGTCGCGATTGGCTAAATCGATTCTCTTACGAACAGTGGCGACTTCCTTCCTCATAGGATCGCTGAGAACTTCGAGTTCCTGCGAAGAAGACGAAGTAATTTTGAAATTAACGGAAACCCTAATTCTTTTTTGCAATTAATTAATCAAGTAGGTAGGTACCTCCCAAACTTGGGCGAGGCGTCGGGTCTCTTCCTCGGCGCGGGTGAGCTGAGACTGGACTTTTTCTCTCATGGCGATTTTGCGGCGTTCGATTTCGTCTTCTCTGGCCTGGAAGGAAGCCTCGTACTCCTCGGCGACGTCGGTGGACGAGGTTGTCCGGCAGACGTTGCCCATCAGAGACTGAGATTGATCTGCAGGGGTGGGGGTGGGGGTACTCATGGCTACAGGTTGTGCTGCGGTGTTAATTATATGGTGACATTTGGGTCTGGATCTTCCATGGCTGCTCTTGCCGCTTTGATTATATATGATATGATGGTGGTGATAGTTACTTACTTTACACGGTGGCTTCCACTGACTTGCTTAAGCTTTAATGCTGGCCTGCCCTCCCTCACAGCTCATCTGTTGGTGTTTGTTATAAAATTATATGCAAGTTTTCTTGACCACGACAACTAAATACTCCCTCTCTCTCGTATGTGTCCATTTGCATGTGTATTTTATAAGAAATATCGCCAAAACAATAATTATACATTTATTTTTTATGCAGAATTTAAAATATTTTAATTATAGCGAGCGCATAAAAGTAAAAGTAGTGTAATGATATTTTTGTTTATTTTTTTTATATAAAAATAATAATGTAATGTAAAATAGAGATATTTGTAAAAAAAAAAAAAGGATATTGAACGTCACAAAATAGAAATATGTATACTTTGTATCTGGACCGGAGATAGCATTTTTTACTTGGAAAAAAAAAAAGAGTGGATACATTTGAATTTAACAGATGAAGATGATAAAATAATTATACTCTCTCTTGGCAAAGATGAAGCTTTTTATTTGGAAACAGAAACTTAGGTAGTATAGATTAATTATTTAGATAACGATGATTAATTATTTAATTATTAAAATAAATTAAAAATATATGTTTAAATATTTTAATATTATATCTCAATAAAATATATAAAATATGGATATAATTGATAGAGAACAAAATTTTATATAATACAAATAAGTTAAATTGATTTATATTTATTAATTGTGTTTAAAATTGATAAATAGATTTTAAAAAAATCATCTTTTGTGTGAAAAAAAAGGTCATCTATAGCTAAACGGCATATGTATATAATTTGGATGAAAAAAATAATATTTTTTACCCCATTCAAATCTATATTTATATATTTCTTCTTTGTAGTAAAAATTTATTCTCATTTTTTAGCAAAAAAAACAAATATATTTGTTTTTTGTATTTTTTAAATTAAAAAATTAATAATTATTACCTAATTTTATTAAAACTAGTTTTCAAACATTTGAGCGCAACATCGAAATTTGAACCCATAATTTGATGGTCACAAGTTTCCTCTCCACACCACCAGACAATTTTTACGGGATAACAAACTCCATTTTGTTAGCCCCACATATATTTGTTCTTTTGTTGTTTGTACAATTTTACTTATTTATTTATTTATATATAAAATATGCACATGTTATCGTTATTTTTCAAATATGTAATGAAAAATAAACTATTTTTTGAATATTTATTGAAAAAAAAAAAAAAAGCAATGCGATGTGGTCAGTTGCTTTTAAGGTTTAATTTTAATTGTGTATTATTCATCAAATTTTCAATTATTAAATTATAATAATGTTATAATTTTTATTTTTATTATTTTAATATAAATTAAAAATTAAATTAAAAGAAAATCCATTATGAGAATGACACATGTAATGTTGTGTTAGATCAATTGAATTCAAAGTCATGCGAATGTCGTTATCAGGTGGTCAATTTTTTGTCATCTTCACTCTAAAGTCACGCTTCACAAAGCCTCTCTTTGTTTATTATTCGTTGGTGGCCGATCAATTCATTCTATTCTTTATTTTTCTTTTTATTTTTATTTATATATATATATATATATATATTTGGCGTGAGAATCCACCGCCGTTATTCAAAAGTGCGCACTTATAAACACTCAGTCGAATCTAATACCTTGCAAACTATTTTTTATTTTTTTAAAAAAAATTTTCAAAATCTATATATCTATATTTATTTTGTGTATGTGGACTAAAAAATATTATTCCCTTCGTCCCAAACAAGGTGTAACATTTATTTTGGGCACGAGTTTTTAGATGAGTAGTAACAAGTAGGATAATTTAAAAATTAGGTGATATGATAGAAAGAAAAATGTATATTTTATTTTATTTTTATTTGGGTGATAGAGATGTGATAAAGTGTGCAGTAGAAATTAAGTATAATTAATTATTTTCTATTTTGGAAATATTGCAAGATGTTTAGGACATACCAAAAAAGAAATATTGCAAGATGTTTAGGACATACCAAAAAAGAAATATTGCACGGTGTTTGGGACGGAGAGAGTAATATTTTTATTATTTTAATATAAATTAAACATTAAATTAAATTAATTTTACATTCAAAACATCATATCAACACTTATTTATATCACATCATACAATTATCCAAATTCAAATTTTTTACTATTCAAATCCCAACTCAAAATCCAAACTCTCAAACAAACACACAATGAACCTCTTAATTTTATTTATTTTTTATTATGCTATAAATAAATAATATATATATTAGAGGTGCATATATTAAATCGCTTTAATTTTGTGATATATATGCATATACTAGGACACGCCTTGCGCGTTACACCGTGCGAGTATTGTATAATGTAAGTATTTTGTTTGGAGTATAATTTTAACAAAATATATATAAAATTAATGACTATATAATTTACAAGTAATTTCATAATCGGAATAGGTTCTTTGGTTACATCAATACTAACAAAAAATTGCTCACAGTTTCAAAAGTATCAATAAAAGTATCATTTAGACCCTAGTAGGTAAATGGTTTTAATATAGGTAGATATTATCTTTGATGATGCCAGAAATACAATACAAAAATCAGTATCTAATCACTATTTAATGAATGACACTTTTTAAAAAATACTAACTTGAAAAATGCTCAAATGCACACAAATTATGCAATCAAAGCCCAAAAACAAATAAAGCCCATTCAATTCGAGAAGAGAAACATAGCCCAATGCTACATAAACTAGAAAGGCCCAACGTATCATAATAGAGGTCCAAACCCATCCAGCCCTTCAAAGCATACAGGCAATCCGAGATGACCCGGTACAAAAACCCGACCCGGAATCGGGCAGTATCTTTGGTCAAACTGCCAATCAATCCATCTATCCATCCCAACGACTTCGAATCGAATCAAACCATCCACCGCAATACCAATCAAAACTTGAATACAATAATAATAATTATTATAATAATAATAATAAAAAGCAAAACAGAACTGCATATAAGAACAACTAATCCATCAAAAAACACTGCAAAAGCCAATCCAAAAACCAACTTCTCAACCACAAACCACCATGCAACAATCAAATTGAACCAAACACAAGCAATTCAAACCTGGTACCCTGGACTAGAGAACACATGAATTTGTTCCGAATCAAAATTGTTTATCTATGTGTGTATTTATGTGCGTAGATACTTTTTCTAATCTCCAATATGACTTTAGAAATCCTCATCTTCTTCACCATTTCGAGAGCCATCCCATTTCAGAATCCGCACATTTCCATCCTAACATTACTTAGATAAAAAATAATGGTCAGGTTAGATTAGATGGGTGTATAAAGCAGACTATGAGCAACAACATTAAAGGTAAAAATAAAAAAAATTACTTACATCTGTTCCACATACAATGCCTCCACCAACTGAAGGATGAAAACATGCTGTAGTAGCCATTTTTTCTGTGTTGGAAAGAGTCTTCATATGTTTCATATCACGAACCCTGTATATCTGAGAGACCATAAATGCATTTAAATACTTGGAAAGAATTGAGTATTGTCAACACACAAAAATGTATTTAGTGCTTTTAGTATATTTTTGCAATTTTTAATATCAAGACCAACTATATTAAAAAAAAAAAAATGATAACTATTCTTATTTGAGTTCATTCATGATCCAATAGTATAATTTTTATTGGAATACACAAGATACAAACATATAAGACTTCGTGTATTCTAAAATCCTTTATGTTAATAAGTCTTAAAAGTGGAATTCAACAAAATATCTCAATTTTATCTTTCTCAGTATAATAATAATAATAACATGATGAATTGGAGTTGTCAAAATGTACAAGTTTTAGTAAATCAAAGTATGCAAAATAGAAAATGTTATTTTGCACATTACTCCCACCTCCAGATTTGTATGCCTAACTTTAATCGAAGCGTATCTTTTAAGTGAACTATGACGCTCGCCATAATCTAGCAAAAAATGTTCTGAGGTAGGCAAGAACGGGAGAGTTGCCAAATTAAAATAAAAATAAATTATAAAATAATAAGCTTTCATAAAAATATATTAGAAATTTGAAACACCATCATTATCTTACATTTCTACATATTTATTACAATGGACCTATCACGAAGCCTACTAAGTTTTTGAAAAATTCATATACCAATAAATAGTGTCATTTATTCCCAAAATTAGTTAACTTCCCACTGTAAGTATCCTTTATAACTTCCCAAAATATAGATATAATGAGACACCATATTAAAATTTGCCTTTTACAACTAATAAAGAAGTAATGGTCTTATATTCAATTGTTATCCCCGTCAAACGCTTGATAAATTGTCATAAGTAAAGTGATCCAAATTAGTTAACATAACTAACCTGTATTAAACTCAAGCATTGAGGTGCTGATATTGCACAAGACTTTGAAATAGAACCAAAACTATAAGAAGGAAAACAAGCATTAGCTTCACAAAAAGATATTAGAATTGGGTAAATTAACATGCAAGAAAATATGACTCACGTAGCCTCCTCAAGAGAATATATCCTTAATTCTTGTATAAATTCATCATTTAGTAACATCATTCGTGTAGTTTGTAAAGTTGAACCACCAAATAGCGTCAACTCTAGGTAGGACACATGCTACGCAAAGTGCTAAAAATCTTCCGCAGGGAGAAAAATGAGTGCATGCTTCCCTAGCAAAGTAATGTTCTAATAATTAGAATTTAAGACTGTCTAAAAAATTTTGGGAAGCATTAGTCAATTCACATCGAAGCAATTCCCAGAATAGCAAATAACTTTACATACCTACGAAGCATAACATTGGAAATTATTAAGCGAGGCTGAAGAGGTGTGTATGGATTGTTTATATCAGATCTCCACAATGTAATCCTCGTATTATAATATGATAATAAATCCTGAAAATCTCTTGTATTTCTGATAATCGATGCTCGTGCTACAGTTGTAAGTTGCATGAACATATCAAATAAACTTTCCTGAAAGACAATCATTATAAAAGTAATATAACTGAGATTAGTATATAGAAAAAAAAACTAACAATGACAAAATGAAACCTGAGCAGTTAGG